GTAAAAGCTTTCCACACAGTAAGCAACCATAAGCTAACCTGTAGGCTAGACTACGCATAACCTACGCAGGGACTATTTTCCCATTAATACGCAGCCTAATTTCTGCGTAGTCGGTACGCCACTCTACGGAACTCTACGCAGTTCCAGTGGCTTAAAGAATAACTACCGGTACAGTTGGATTGTTTTTTTAAATTTAATATAAGGCCAAATTAAAAAAAAAAACATACTTATAGCGTCCTGTTTTTTTCGAAAAATGGGAAAGGAGGAGGCCCTTTTTTTTTTTTTTTTTTCTTTCAAAATGGCCGCTCCGTACATTTTCCCTGACATTCAGGCTATTTTTCAAGATGGCGGCCGACAATTTATTTTTTTTATTTTTAAAATCAGAAATACATTTGAGCAGTGCTTTTCAAAAAAAAAATTAAAAAAATCAAAAAAAAAAAAATAGGAGGCGGCCCCCAAAAAGGAAGCGGGCGGGGACGCTGTTTTTTTTTTCTTTCAAAAAAATAAATAGAAAAAAATTAAAAAAAATAGGAGGCGGTCCCCAAAAAGGAAGCGGGCGGGGACGCTAAACATGTATTTTTTTTTTATGGCCTGAATGGCAAATAAAGTTCTTTGTGGTTTTAATTTAGACAGTCTCTATATATCTATTTACACCCCCCCCCCCCGCCCCCTCTAGAATCCCGCGGATTTCCGCGGGTCCTGCTAGTTATCATTATAATTAGCATTGTTGCTGTTGTTACTTTGTGCTTCGAATTCTTCTTCTTCCTCCAATTGTTTTCTTCATCACCTCCGGTTGGTTCCAATATACCTCTCATTTCGTTGTTTAAATAAATTGAAGGTAGCCCCCTCTGGCCCACGGACTACAAAGCAACCAACATTTTCATCAATATTGGTTCAACCCAGGCGCGTACGCAGGGGGGGGGGGGGGGGGTCAAACCCCCCTCAATTTTGTTAATGTCTGATTTTTTGGACAGGGTGACCAAAAAAGATGACCTTACCCCCTCCCCCTCCCCCCCCCCCCCCCCAACTGAATGAAATATCGCTCGGCCAAATTCTTTAAATTTTCGGGACAAACAAAAAATGTGCTCCACCCCCCCCCCCCCCCCCCGAGTCTGCAAATCATCTCCTTTCAAACTTAAAAGATCAATTGGTACGGATGCACACGTTACATTGCTGTTATTCAAGTTCAATATCAAACTCGACACACTTTTAGTAGATAAACCGCACAAGCCTTCCAGTTTAATATCAATTGTTTTTCTAAATGTTAATACAGGCGGTAGACCCATTGGACGTGCAGTCTGTGTACGTGACACGACATTTGGAGAATTGGCATGGAATATCAGCGTGTATTCGAATGACTGTGGGCCATTAAGGGAAACAAATCAAGTAGTCGACAATATTATTGAGGTCAGTATTTTTCTTGTTTTTAGCAAAAAATTTGGATTCATATGGTTTGATTTAATGATTAAATACTTCCACAAAATATATCTCATTCATTATAAGTTTACAGTGTCATATCAGGTTCACATCATAAGCAAATCTCGAATTGACGTCCTCATCATGAATAAAATATAAGAATTGGTGGTGGTGGTTATTTTACCTGACTGCTAAGAAAGCACAAATGCTTGTAAGTAAGCAACCAGACGGCCGAAGGCTTTAGGTCCTCTCCGAGGGACCTGGTAATGAGGATTATTGCCTTACGCATCGCCTTGGTTTCGAACCCTGGTCACCGGATTACGAGACCACTGCTCCACCGACTGAGCTATCGCGCAAAAAGAATTTGTGTAATATGTGACGATGCGTCACGGAAGGCGAACAAAAAAGATGAAAATCAGAAAGAACTAAAGAAAAAAAGGACGGGAGAAAGGAAGAAAGGTATAAATAACTAAAGGAAGGAAGAATAAAAGAATGAAACAAAGAAAGAACTAAGAACAAAGATAAAGAACCGAAAAAACTCAAATTTAAATCTAGATGCAAATTTATTTTGAATAAACATGTGAAAAAGTGTCAATAAAGATACTATGTCCCTTTTGCAGCCAACATCAAATTCTGTAGAACTTTGCAGGAATTATGTTTACTTGCTTGACTTCACTGTCAGACACTATTGAGTGACTGGCTGGCTTTTTTTTCTTTGGTAATAACATATACATAAAATGAGCTGTAAAGGGTAGATGAGCATTTGTCTACATCAATAACCCACTTCTTGTAATGGCCAAAATTAAACTGATTGAATCTTTGCACAGCATAAAAACGTACTTTTACGTATTTTCCCACTTAAAGACATTTTCAAGCCCCCCCCCCCCCCTTTTTTTTTTTTTTAGGGAAGTTCTAAATTAGTATTATCTTTCAAATGCCGTTGCAATTTAACCATTTCATTTTTTGGCCTGCAAATGGGACATAGTACCTTTAAGTTATCAAATTATTGTAATAATTCATATTGTTCAATAAAATTACTCCGTGGGATGAATATTAATATACAATTTGATATAAGACAAGAATAAATAGTAAGAAAGATAGATAAATGGTTCATTGATTAATAAGAAAATCACTGCGGCAAAGCCGAATTGCGATTTATTTACAACGAGAGAGTGCATACACAAAAAGGTTATAAACATCGAAAAAAATATAAAATAATAAAAAGTTATCAACAATGTCAGAGTGCATAAGAAAAACATGTAATTAGTTTTGACAAATATTACACATTATAATTAACAAACAACATTTTGTATCATATTATCTAAATTCCTTTTATACATTGATATGACATTTTATTCGATATTTTACATCACAATGTTACAAAATATATATATAAAAACCTCAAAGCAATGTTTCGTTATTCGCAGATCTATTATAGTCCTAATAATATGTACAAATAACATTTACTGGTCGTTTAGTATTGTTCAGCTAATTATCAAATGCTTAACATTATAATTGGTAACATCCATGGCCGTTTAGAATTTATTAATAAAAAAATAATAAAAATGATTAAGGAGTGGGTTTTAATTTCGTGTATGAGGAGAGGAAAGTCGTTCAAGGACATGATAATATTCGAAGACAAGATAGGCATAGGCGCCGGAAGTGGGGGGGCAGGGGGGGCAGCTGCCCCCCCAATCAAAAAAGTGGGGGGGCAAAACGCATTTTTGCCCCCCCAAAACGCCCCCCCCCCCCTCAAAAAAAAAAAAAAAGCAGTAAAGGAGTAAAGATGGTTTGTATTTTTAACCCAAAAGAACATAACAATAATAAAAACCTGAATTAAATGACGTATGAAATTCCATTCAAAGAAAAGGAAAGTTAACAGGAATTAAATTTCCTAAACATTGCGCATGCTACCTATGGAGGTTTTTATAATAGCGATACGCGCATATCGTGGACATATTGCGAGAGAATGGGAAAGCGTGTCTGTTTTTTGTTATAGGGGTGAGAAGCTTATGAGCCCCTGAACGCTGGCGTACTGATGGGGGTGGGGTATTTTTTTTATTCGATACCAGTGATTTACAAATGTTACTGAAATGACATGATTTTCCGGTATATTTTCTCATTTTGTTTGTAAGTCATACCTTTTTATGCGTTTGTTGGAAAATTAGAATTTCCCAAATTTACAGTCGGGCAAAAAATATGCATATTTAGAAGCATTTATGTTAGGGTCTGCAGAACGGCCGGGCTCGGGGACTCGTGCCACCCTCAATTGTTGAAAAAGTTTGTTACAGAGAAAAAGAAAGAAAGAGAGAGAGAAAAAATAATTGACCTGCCAATGTCACAAATGAGGTATCAAAATATGCTCATCTGACCGTAATTAAATGCCTAAAACCCCAGAGCTACGGGGGCTCCGCCCCCAGACCCCACCAAGGGCCCTAGGGCGGTCCCCTGTATGCTCATCTGACCGTAATTAAATACCTAAAACCCCCGAGCTTCCGGGGGTTCTGCCCCCTGGAATCCCACCAAGGGCCCTAAGGCGGGGCCCTGGATGCTCATATGACCGTAATTAAATGCCTAAAACCCCAGAGCTTACGGGGCCCTGCCCCGGACCCACCGAGGGCCCTAAGGCGGTCCCCTGTATGCTCATCTGACTGTTATTAAAAACCTAAAACTCCTGAGCTTCCGGGGGCTCTGCCCCCTGGACCCCACCTAGGGCCCTAAGGCGGGGCCCTGGATGCCCATCTGACCGTAATTATATGTCTAAAACCCCAGAGCTTACGGGGGCTCCTCCCCCAGACCCCACCAAGGGCCCTAAGGCGGTCCCCTGTATGCTCATCTGACCGTTATTAAATACCTAAAACCCCGAACTTCCGGGGCTCTGCTCCCTGGACTCTCCGCCAATTAGTGGCCTGCCAGTGTCACAAATAAGGTATCTAAATATGCTTATCTGACCATAATTTTAATGCCTAAAACCCCTAAACTTCTGGGGGCTCAGCCCCTTGACCCCCTACCGGGGCCCAGGCCCTGGACCCCACGCCATTTTATGCTCTACCTGATTGTTAATAATCCACTTTGAAAAACGTTCCGCGGGGCCTGCCCTGAATGTAACGTGTAAGAGTGATGGTGATGCAGATTTTTCTTCTGCCCCCCCCCCCTTCCAAACGTTTTTGCTCGTTACGTCACTGCCCCTGGAAGGTGAGCCCCCTGGAATGTTTGCCCCCCCCCCCCCCCAATCCCAAACTGCTTCCGGCGCGCCTGAAGATAGGAATGGGCAAAACATCGTAATTTCTAACAAGCTAAAGGGGGATGGCCAAACACCACAATTTTCCTTTGTCTCAGAATGTGAATGGATGTGTTAGGTGTCATGTTGTGTATTGTTTGATATAACAAACGGACAGAAAATTACAACACGACGTCAAAAGTAGGTCTGCAGTTTCTGCCTTTGGTTGATTGGCTCTTTAGCATGTGTAGGCTATCAAATGTTGGTAAATTATTAAACCCCTAACCATTAAGAGTTTTTCCGTAGCTATCAAAATGTTTTTTCATTAATCTATTTTCAGAAAGGAGTAACAAATGAGACAGTGATGGAAGTGTTAGAGGTCGTGGTAAAGGTCTCAGACATGGAGATAGACGAAGGAGACATTGTCAAAATAGCTAACATCATCAGCAACAGTACAGCCCTACAAAGTGGCGACCCTGGGGCGAGTAAAATAAATACCATATTATATATAAAATAAATACCATATTATATATAAAATATAACAGTCACGGATGTTGGATTATGGAATACATAGGAAAACGCCTAATGAGAGTTGCCCCCAATGATGTATATATATATATAAATGTGTGTGTGTGTTTGTGGGGGTGTGTGTGTATGGTTTTATGTAGCCCTCTATATATATATATATATATATATATATATATATATATAAGTGTGTTTGTGTGTATGTGCGTATGGGTATATATAGAGAGAGAGAGAGAGAGATAGAGAAAGAGAGAGAGAAATAGAGAGCGGGGGCAGTATCTGAATCGGCCTCTGGTGAAAACCTGGTGTGATTGAAGGATACGCTTTTCAGTTTCGTGCATGTCTTGTGTTTCGTAGTTAGCAAAATGAGAGTTTACAAATGTAACGGAAAATGCAATGAAATGCAAAAACTAGGAAAATTATGATAATAAATGACAACAATAAGAATGGCGGTTCACTTTTCCTTATGCAATGATTTTTTTTTAAATAATTACTATCGTTCCATTACAACAGATCACTACTCTTACTGCAACCATCATCAGCAACTTCGCAGAGAAAGATGAAGAAGAACTTTCCGCGGTGGAAGAAAATACTGGAGCGATCACTCAAATCCTGGAAAGTTTTGAAGAACAGCTTAACAATCTTGACATATCGGATGGACAAAGTTATACCGCATTTGAGATGAATGTAGCTGTACAGGTATAATGATACTTCCTCAAACTCAAATGAATGCAATTGTTTTATATCAACATTTTCTCTATTCCCGTGGGATTTGAATAGTGTTATTACATAAATTAGGATAAAACAGTACATTCATATGCAAAAGGGGGGCAAATATTGAAAACATTCTCTGTGCTAGATTGGTTGCCAGGGTATTTAGACACAACTATCTTAAAACCATGGCCCACAGATTTTCCTCCCCGACCAAGCTTGCGCAACGAGGGTAGAAAATATGTCTACTGGCGTCACAGGGGCATGATGACTAATTAATTTGTGTAGAAACTAATAGGATTTCTGCAGCTTTGCCTATATCTCTTCATAATTCAATGTGATATATTGTTGTTGAAGATGATGATAGTGATTGTGTTTTATTTCATTATCATTAAGTTATTGTTGTTGTTGATAGTGATGATGCTGTTCATGATTTCGTTCTTGCTGATGATGATAATGAATGTTATTCTTGTCATTTGTATGGCGCCATATTTCTGTTTAAATTATTTTTACAATTCAAATCACGTATAGGGAAATTTACACGGTATCCATAATTGTAGCAAGTATCTAGGCATCAAATTTCAATGGATTTGAAAAAGTATTTAAATAAAATAGAATCGATTGTTTCATATAGATGAGGTTTCTTTTGATTCAGGTGACGAGTGTCGAACCGGCTGACTTTTTGTCGGGGTTGACCGTATCTGCTAGTAGCACCTCCTCAGATCTAAGGCAGGCTAACATCACGCTCAAAGCCGGAGACAGCATCGTCCAGGAAGAGATCCTCACAGGAACTCGTGTCAGCATTCCCTCTTCTGTCCTGAACAACCTCAGCAACGAAGTCGGGAGCGAGTCACGGGTGCGAGTGGCCCTCAGCGTTTTTAGGACACCGTTATTGTTCTCTTCGCAGCGTATCCGAAGGACCAACGACGGGCAGAGTAGTTTCAACCAGACCGTGAACTCATTGGTTATTGGTTTGACGCTCGGGGGACAGAAGATGGCGACTTTGGGGGAGAACATCGTATTTAAGTACACACCTATTCAGGTAAGAAATACGGTTCTAGGACACCTACCCCCTGGACATTCATCCCAGGATAACCACCCCCAGTCAACAACCCCCTAGGACAACTTCCCCCTAGGACAACTACCCTCTAGGGCAGCCAACCTCTAGGACGACTACCCCCCGGGACAACTACCCCCGGACAACTACCCCCAGACAACTACCCCCTAGGACAACAACCCCCGGACAACTACCCCCCGGACAACTCCCGCTAGGACAACCATCCTCTAGGACAACTACCCCGGGACAACAGTACTATCCAAAGGGGGTAGTTGTCATGTTAAATATTCCGAGTAATACAATAAGATATTGAAATTGGCCATGAATTGAATTGTCGTAAGTATTTGCGATTATGTTGAATAATATCTATATCTTCCAAATGATTATGCTTGTACTTAGTCTGGCTTTGAAAATCCCGTATGTGTGTTCTGGGACTTCGAGGACACACTTGATTGGTCATCGAGAGGATGTCAACAGATTACGTCAGGATCAGTTAATGGTGAAATAACATGCAGCTGCGATCATCTGACGAATTTCGCGGTATTGATGGTAAGTTGCACTAATACCCCTTTCATAGTGCTTCTATCGGAGTCACACCGATGAAAATACCGATTAAATCAGGCCAGTTTGAAAGGGGTATAAGCTAGAGAGAGTAAAGAAAGGGAGGGTACGCCTCCTTTTACAAACAAAATAGGATTAATCAATTTGTACAGACACGTGGCAAGGTTAACGTATTATATATGTTAAAGAAGGTTGGCGAAGTTTTCATTGAGAGAAAAGTATTATTAGTAGCATTGTTGAGGTATCACAAATATCTGCTCCACTAAAATAATTTTGATAACCTGAATTATGATTGAATTGTAACATTTGTTCTGCATCGTATCATAGAAACATTTTCACATCGTATGGTAGATTAAAACTATGATTATATGTTGAGGATATTGACCTAGTATTAATAATTATTCAACATGCTAAGTACTAAGCTAATTATCTTCTCACAATAAATACAGCAAATCAATGTGCTTTTATTGCGTTTTCAAAAGATTTTCACCATCAATATCATCATCATCATGGTTATCATAACCATTTTATTATAATTGGTGTTGCTATTGTGGTTGTTGCTTGTGTTCTTGTTGTTGATTGCTGTCATTTAAGTATATGTATTTGTGTCTTGTTTTGTTTAGGATTTATATTACGAACGTGTTGAGGCGTTACGGATTATTAGCATCATCGGTTGTGCCATCTCTATTGTGTGTTTAGTCATTATACTAATCACCTATCTATCAAACAGGTAAGTACATAATACAAATGATTAACGTTCTTGAGTAATTTCGAATGACGTGATAAAGTCGCAATTTGGTCTCTTTTGCATTTAGGAAAATGATGCAAATTTTGTTATTTCCTTTTTTTCTTCTTCACATAAATTACATCATTACCCGCGGTCTCAATCATTTGAACAATGTAAACCGTCATATAATGTCAGAGGAGAATCCTTCAATGAGATGTAATGTTTGTATCTAAGATCTAGGACAACTACCTGCTGGGCTATCAAAACAATTCATACATTAACTAATTCTAAAGAATAACTATACCCTAGTTAGAGTAATAGTTTGGTTTTTTTTTCTTTCTCTGGGAGCAGTTGTCTGGGCAGTAGTTGTATTTTAATGTAATTAATTTGTTTTCAATATGTTTATTAAAGTTACATAAAATAATGGCATGATAATTAAATATACATTTGTTAACATTAAAAGCATACATTCGGTATATATAAAATGATTGTTGTCGTGATTCAAATTGATCTTGCTGCAAGTTTCTAATTTCGTATATTCATATACTTGAATTGCTGCTGCTGAACAATGTGTTCTGTGTTTGTTTATTTGCTTTTGTTTTCAATTGATTGTATGTTTGTATATTCTGACAGGAACCTTCACGTCCACCAGTCGCAGAAGATTTTCATGTGTCTCTGCGGAACCCTTCTCGGTCTATACCTCACCTTCCTCATCATGAGCGCATTGGACCGTCATCCCGACTACCCCGAAGTCACTCCCGTCCCTTGCGGCATCCTCGCCGCTCTCGTTCACTTCTTCACCCTGTCCTCTATGGCCTGGATGGGCGTTGAGGGAATCAACACCTATCTCATTGTCGTACGCGTCTTCGATGCTTACATTCCTCGTTTCATGCTCAAAGCCAGCATCGTGGCATGGGGTGAGTGTCCTTCTCTATACATTATTTGATAGGGGCGCCTATCGGAGAGGAGGGTGAAGTGTTTTGGGGCGCTATCCCCTCCTCTAAATGATGACTTGATTCTCACATCATTGTAGCAATGTTTGTATCTTTCATTTCCCAGTTCTTCTGTAATTTGCCTATTTTTTGTTTTTATTTTTGTTATTTATTTCACTCCTTTATTTAGGGAAGTCTGTTGAGTATAATATATTTGAAGACGAGTCTTAGAAATCGCTCCTTCCTTTGCCCTCCTTCAATGGAGCCATCTCTCTTTTGTGTTCCTCCCTTTTAATTCCACACCCCTTTTTTGCCTGTCCAATAACAATATCATGTTTAGAGATTTCTTTTCTCAGATACTTTGAACCTGTATTTTACCGATGATAATTTGTGATACAATGAAGACTTTTCCACATATAGCCCTTGTTTAATTTGTTCATACTTTCATATTTTAGTATCATGTAAGAAACAAGTAGAGTTACTCTTCTGTTAGAAAGTAACAACTATGCCATAAACAATGTTCACGAAATTTGGTAATCATTAGTCTATTCAGTTTCTAAATACTTAATATATAATACACAAGAAATTGTAAAGGGAAATTAAATCAAATTGAAATAATTAAACCAACTCAAATTTCATGGTATCCAGGAGTCAACCCATTTATTCAGGTTTCAGTCTTGAGACTGTAAAAGGAAGGAAGATTGTATCCCAACCTGCTAATAATTGTTTGTTTCTCTCCCTTTCTCTCTATCCCATTTCCCCCTCCCCCCTCTCTCTCTCTCTCTCTCCGTTTCTCTCTCTCTCTCTCTCTCCCCCCTTTCTCCATGTCCCCTCCTCTCTCTTAAACGTTTCTCTATTACGATACCATGGCAGGAGTCAGCGGTCTGATCGTCCTCTTGACCGGCCTGGCATCCCAAGAAAACTATGCAGCAACAGACTAGTAAGCTACACTAAAAAAACACTCGAAAACATTCTTAAAAGGAACATGAATAGATAAGATCTACTATTGTAAAAAGATGCAAGGGCACAATTAGGGTACAACCGGTCATTGACATCCTCCCCACCTACCCCCTATCTCCCTCCCCCTTGAAAGCAAAATTGCAATAATAATGTTCACAACAAATTCCGTTTCAGATACGGCGGTAGAAAGCAACTCACAAAAAGCCGCCGAGTTTTGTTTTTAACGTGTGAATGAAATGGAAGTGCGCGCCTCAAAGGACTTGCGTGTATTCACTGAGCTCTGTGTTATGAGAGACAGAAATGTGAAACTTATTACACACTTTACGTCTTTAAAAAAAAAGATGTGAACGAAACTTAATTGTGATTTTTTTTTTCGGGAACGTACACGATCCTCTCACAAAATCATTGATCCGCGCCCCTCAAAGCCATTAAAGAAAATATACTGCTTTATACCTTGGGATGGGGAAGTCCATCCTGATATTGAGTTGGTTTTAATAAAAGCAGAACAATGAGAGAAACATGTTACTTAAGGTTTGAGCAGATTTCAGTTAAAATGGAAAGTTATGCATTTTTTAAGTGATCGTCAGTGGCAACAATGTGACGTATCATGTGAGCTTCTCTTCGATTAGCTCTGTACAGAAAATATCATCAACTTTTATTTTCAACTTATTATATTCAGGGTGAATGAATGATTTACAATTTTCTTAAGGAGATGTAAATTTCAATTTCAATCTTGTTTATTATCCAGCTGTTTTCTTCAGAAGTGGCCAACGGTCGGTGGACTCCTCATCCCAATAGCGATCATCCTCCTTGCAAACATCGTCATCTTCAGCTTGGTGGTTCGCCGCTTGATCAAGTCGGCCAACGTCGCCTCTAATAGCGACGCGGCTGGGACCAACCGCAAGGCGTCTATCGAGCGCATCAAGAACGCGGTCAGCGTCCTCCTTCTCCTCGGCTTGACCTGGGTCACGGGCTACCTGACCCTGATTGACACCACAAGTCAGGTCACCCAAACTCTCTTCATTGTCTTCAACTCTCTCCAAGGCTTCTTCATCTTCATCCTCTACTGCGCGAGGAACCCAGTAGTGCGCGCGTACTGGGCCAAGGTGTGCGGTTGCGGGCAGGACTCGTCGAGAACGAGCACCCGTGCGAACCAAGGAACGAGTCAGGGAATCTCCTTGACCACGACCAAGTCGACGTCGGAAAACGACCATGATTATGAGAATCCGTCCTTCGATGATGATAAGGAATATACTGACCTTGATTTCTCTCAAGTCAAGAAAGGCGGTGATCCGACGAAGCCGACGTCCTCCGGTAAGGAATATACTGACCTCGATTTCTCTAAGATCGAGAAAGGCGGTGATCCAACGAAGACCTTTGACGGTAAGGAAGATGTGGATCCGGCCTATGAAGTTTGTATCATATAGAATGTCAATCATATATATTTTTCTGAAGTCTTTTACAAAATAGAATTGCATCAAGAAATACACTTGAAATATTTATTGAAGACAATCATGGAGATTATCATAAGAAATAAAATTACCTTATAAAGTTATTATTTATTTTGTTTGCGTAAAAGATATATTAAAAGTATCTATAATGCTGGAATCCCATTAAACCCGTTGATTGGAAACATAATTCTCAAAAACAAAATCACGTTAGCCTATTGTTGTAATACTTCAAAGACGTGTTTAATTGTATTTTTCCTGCGTTACAACGTATAGCAGGAAAATGTTGTATACGCGGATTCTTTTAATGATTACGTAATGGGAGTGACGAGACGCCACGATACCGCGAAGTAGGTCGGTCTGGCAGGCTTCCCATAAAGTTTGTTATTGATGTAATATGTGAGTCATTAACTGAGTAATGAAGGGTGAGAATATACTGGAAGATTCCAACTAGAGGGAATTGTATTCAATGACCAGGATGAACGAGACGAGTCATTACAGTCCCTTTATATTGTATCATTTCGTTAAACGAAATTATTATATGATAAAACAAGCTACTTGGTTATAACAGATAATGGATTATGAAATCATTATCTACATGACTGGACCATAAGTGACTAATGAATATCCTGTTAGGAGTAAGTTTATTTGTGGTTATGAACTTAAACGAATAATAAGCGCATGGCTTGATTTAGCTTTCTCTAATGACGAAGTGACTCTTTTATGAATAATCCGGGGAATAATCCTTCTTTTTAGCGCTAAGTCGCTTTCTTTTTGTATATCAATACCTAGTGTTGTTGATCCTTTATTTTCATCGAGAGATTATTTAATAAAATGGTCGTGAGGAATGGTGCCACATTCCTGTAATTGTTGACAACTCCTGAAAAGGGTCGATGGCCCTGAGATTTAGCATATTACATACTACTTTTGTAGTAACTGCAGCTTTGGTCTATGATTGAATTTCAACCCGAAAGGTTTAAGAGGGCAATTTCTATTCAAGTGATATATGCATGTATGTACTTAAAACAATCTCTTTTAATGATTCTATATTTTGATTCGTTTGACTTCGACATGATTTCGTACTCTCTTTCGTCTTCAAATTGCTTTTAAATGTGTTTATGGATGAGCAAATAAAATGACGATATTTCTATTTTTAGGTTGATGATTGTTTTGACATAAATATTCATATATTGTTCAAACACAAAGGGAAACACAAACAAAAGTACAGGTTACAGGTTTTGATTTAAAGAACAAGTACAGGACAACATAAACTATACAATGAAGACATATTACATAAAGCTATGGTCACAAATCAGAACAGCGACCGACCGATCAGTAGCCTGCTCGGTCGCTGGTGGACTTAGGCATCGCCCGGCGATTAGGTCGGTGCCAGGGCGGCGACCGCCCAGGCACCGAGCGTATTGTGGGCGGTGAGTGAAAAGTGAGCAGGCGCCGCCCAAATTTTAACTCTGCGCTAAAACTTCAGCGGCGACCGAGCGATGCCCTAAAAACGAGCGGTGCCTGGGCGGCCGCCGCTCGGTGGCCGGGCAGCCGCCGGGCAGAATTGGTTAAAAACTCGCCGCTCGGCCGCCGAGCAGGCTACTTTGGGGGTTTGTGACCATAGCATAACATACAACAGTGAAACGTAAAATATAACAAGTTTTTGTGTAACAAATTGGAAAATCATTACTATAATGATGATGATGATGATGATGATGATGATGATAGAGATGATAATATTCATAATAGTAATAATAACAACTATAATGATAACAATGAAAACAATAATAGTGGTGATGATTGTAATATTAATAGTGGATGTTTTGTATAGCGCTCTTGCCTGTTAGACTTGATACTCAAGTGTGAGGAACCATTTTTTAGATTCAATAATATTCATGATTATAATATCGCACAACTTTATCTGATGCTTTACATTCAGCTTTTTAATTTTTGTTTTTATTGTAGCCGTTAGTAAGGGGAATAAGGGATAGATATACTCATTCATGAAACTTTTCGATTTTTAAAAATTGTTGTTTTGGTGTTTGGGCTAGAATTATACTCAGAATTAAAACGAAGATACTATATGCTCTGAAGAATATGTTTTTACGTTTTCTTTTTTTCTTCTTTTGTATGTATCTAGTGACACATGATCAAAGTTGACATGTAATTAATGAAACAAGAACTTAAGGTGACGGATACACAATAATTTTTTTGATCTAGAGATTATTAGGCGCCCGGATATGTTTTCACATCGATTAAGAATTTTTGTGTCAGTGGACGAGGGAAAGGGAGGGTAAGATGATTTGGAAATCTTTTGAATTATAATTTCACTTGACCTCTGTATGTCAAAGAAAAAATATTGAGCCTTATTAAGAGAGAAAAAGGAGGGGAGAATGAAAAAGAGTGAGAGAGAGTGAAAAAAGGGAAGTATATTATCTTAAAAAGAGTTTACAGATTAAAAGGAGGTAGAGAGGGAGAGAGTGAGTGAGAAAGAAAAGGAGGTGAGGAGAGAGAGGGTTGAGAGAAAGAAAGTGAAGAACAGGGACAAACATAATCTTAGAAAGAGTGTAAAGAAAAGAAGGTAGAGAGAGGAGGGGCAAAAGAGAGAGAGAGAGAGAGAGAGAGAGAGGGGGTTGAGAGAAGAAGGAGACAGAGAGAAAGAGAAGAACAGTGGGAAATATAATTTTAGAAAGAGTTTGAAGAGATGGAGGGTGAGAGAGAGAGAGAGAGAGAGAGAATGAGAAGGAGAAAGAAGGGGAGGTAAGGAGTAAGAGAAACAGAAAGGGGAAACAGGAGGAATAAGAATGAAAATGAAAGGAGGTTAAACAAAATACGGGGAAATAGGGAGGAAGACGAATGGAATTGTAACAACTAAAGACAAAATGCAGAGGGTCGAATACACCGAGGGAAAGAGACAGCTAGACTTTGTCCACGTATCTGATACCTTAATTAGGGTGTACCCTTTATAAACTATGTTAATATGTGGAATGACCCATCCATTCGGTATCCGATTATTTACTATTCCCCATAGTTTCATAGGAATTGTATGGATAATCACAAAATGTATTTTTGTTTTGCATTGTGTTTAAAATGATGACGAATGAGTCCGGTGTATTGATTGTTCGAATTTTGAAGCCGAATATTCAGACACTTTGTTCCGTTTTCTGACTTATTTTAATTTGACCTCGGTCAACCAATTCAGACAATAAATATGATGTCGCTTTTGTAACAGTCAATCAAGCATTACCTAAGAAAATATTTTCTTTAGATATATTGTCGCCAAACCTAAATTTGGTAATGATGTCAACATAATAAATATGATATCGCATACAATTTGAAAAATAGGAGGGAAACTTACTATTTCTTTTCTTCCTTTGTTAGGCCTTCCCTAAAAGGGAACTTCAGCGATTAATCAAAATCGGTCAACTGCGACACGGGCATTGATGTTTATTCGTCAGAGATATGCCCCAGTCATACTGATAAGACTGACACTAGACCGAACAAAAGCTACAAAGTGTTACGCTATACCGTTTGTGCCAGAATCGGTTGGTTTGAAATCGATATGGAGTCGAGTCGGCGGTGTGACTGAGGTATTCATCTTGCCTATAAGGCTCAACAAATTAATTGTGAAAATTTGATTTATTCTTGATGGATTAATTTATATCTTTTCAATAACATTATAGATCAATCTCTATGACCTTGATCTCTTGATGAATACAATTTGCAGAAGATATCATAGTTATCTATCACGAACTAACAATATTGTCACAACCATTTCATGAAAAAGAGTAAGACAAGGCATTTCCTCTTTATAGCAGAGCATAGTAGGCAAAGTTTGTATAATATGTCCCAATAAAATGAGATGTGAGGCCTGCGGTATCAAATAACAACATTACAGCCATCTGAAAAGGTGCTATATTAATTCTGACACAAATATTTGAAAATGAAAATATGACATTTGTCACATCAAACATAATAATCACATATTTCCAGAATTAATGTATACTAATCGAACTATGAGTATCCCTACTCAACGCCCATGCCAAGGTATAGTTTATGTCACAGATAGCGGGTGTCATGTGGTGACTCATACTCAAAAATTGACAGCAAAATTCATACTTTGTTCTAGATATAGAGGCATGTCTGCGCTGAGCTATTTAGACCAGCGAGTTAGTCAAACATTTTGAAACAGATTTTGGCCCTCGATCGATCGGAACTAAAACCATCTTTGCAAAAGATTATCGAAGTCAGTTGCTAATGATGCCATTGTAGGAATACAAAGAATTGGATCCCTATGGAGAATTTACGTGGGTACTCAAGAGGATAGGGTTAGGCTTATTACAAGTGGTCTACAAATGCGACAAACCGTACTTCCAGTATATGACATTAACCCATTCACTAAAATGAATAACGAAGAACTAACAAGAGTCACGATTAAGGATATCCCCTTATCAGTCGGGGATGATCTCTTGAAAGCTTCGCTTGAAAAGCTGAAATGCAAAGTAAAGGGACAAATCATCAGGCAGAAACTACGAGTGAATGGGCAACTTGTAAACTGTTTGAATGGTGATCGTGTATGTTTCATAGAACCGCCATCGCAACCACTGCCGAGAATGCTAAACGTTGCCAATATCTTCCGGGGCAGAGCTTTTCACACAGGACAGCCCGAACAGGTCAAAAACTGTTCCAAATGCCTGGAAACTGGCCACCATACATCACAATGCACAAACGAAGTCAAATGTAGAATCTGCAAGAATTCCGGGCATAAGAGCACCAGTTGTCATACCGTCGCCGTTAACAACGAAAACACACCGGATGAGGCTCAGATCGACACCGCTGATCAACCACAACAAAGGGGAACCAAGTATCAACACACAACAGATCACGCTTCACAAAGCAACTCGGAAGAGCCAGGAATCCCCATGACGCAGCGTAGGGATGACGTAATCGTACGAACGAAGACTCCTCGCCAGCCGGACATATCGCAATATCTACGCCCGAAATCGACAACAACGTCCCCACCCAGAAACAGCCGCCGCGAAGACACTGATCACACTAGCGATGACTCGAGTACACTCTCTTCAGGTGAAAGTACCCAGGAAGAGCGGATAGTTACTCCACAAAAAACCACAACACCAAAGAAAATGCAAAAGAGGAAATCAGAAAGAAAGAAAGGGAACACAAGAAAGTGAGTAGACTGAAATTTGGATCAACAGACAAGTATTACGGAAATGAAAATCTCTAGCTGGTGAACGAAAACAAATTATGTCCTTTTTATCCCTCAATGTAAGGGGGATCAGGAATAAACTGAAACGAAACAAAATCTTTTCATGGATACATAAGCAAAAAATAGACGTAATAATGTTACAAGAAACTTTTTTGACTCTCGGATTAGAAGCAATTATTAAGTTAGAATTAGATTACCACTGTTTCTTTAATCATGGCACAAATCACTCAAAAGGTGTGGCTATTTTTGTACGTAAATATTATTCTGAACAGATTGAACATTTTGTACACCTTGATGGTCGAGCACTTGCGATAAGATTGAAAGTTGGTGAAAACTCTTATTTTATTTTAAATGTTTACGCACCGACAAAATACAATGAAAAAGAAAGATTTTATAACAACTTATTAAAATGGTTAAAAAAGGTGAAACAAGTAAACGATTCATTAGTGTTAGGTGGAGATTGGAATTGTGTTCAAAATGCCCAGCTGGATACTCAGGGTATGTGTTATGCTTATAAAGAGATTCAGGGGTTTAAGAAATTGCTTAAACACTTTCATATGATTGATGTGTGGAGGAAAATGTTTCCTTTCAAAAAACAATACACTTGGCGACAATTGTCATTAAATATATTTTCTCGACTTGACTATTGGCTATTAACAGATTCAATGTGGTGTTGTGTGCAGACGACTGAAATTAAGCCTGCTCCAAAATGCGATCATTGTGCAATTACTCTAAAATTGGCAACTAATAGTCCCCGAAAGGGGTGTGGTTTATGGAAAATGAATAATTCATTGTTAAAAGATGATGACTATACAGTAAACATAAAACATTTGATTAGAAAATTTAAAATGGAAAACGCTTATATGAACCCGCAAATGAAATGGGACATGTGCAAAATAAAGATTAAAGAATACACAATCAGGTATTCGAAACAAAAGCATAAAGAAAAGAACGAAGCTTTTAACAAATTACAAACTGAATTTATGTCAATGAGCTGTAAGACTGATGAAAATCCGTCTAAAGAAAATAAGGAAGAACTAGAACGAACAAAAATTAAATTAGAC